CCCAAAAAAAAAAAAAAAAAAAAAAAAGTAATTTTATTTTCTGGTTAATACTTTTTGGTATTTTTTAATAAATATGCACAACTTGCTCTGTAACCAGGTTTAAAAATAAAACCGTTTATTAAAAAAGAGAAACGAAAAAAAGAAAAGATCAAAGCCCCAGGAAAGGAAGAGGAAGTGAGGACATTTAGCGGTAAAGCATCAGGGGCTCGCAACTGACTTCCTCTTGGTTAGGGTGTCAGAAAAGCTGGTGAGGGTCCTATCCTTCCCAGAGGGATAGAATTATCATTATCATTAAAGTACAGGATTTAAAATGTGTCAGAGGAAGTTAAGTAAAAATTATCCAATCACCTAGATGTTTCCATGATTTATTCCTCAACAAGTAAACTCACATGAAAGAAAAATTCTGACCTGTGTGTTAAGGGACCAGTGCAAGCGTCATAAATATATCAAGAGGGTTTTAAAAACTAGAAGAGTGGGCTTTTATGCTTTTAAATTTAAACAATAGCAGAGGATTCTTGCATTTCTCACAGCTTGCACATAATCCGCTTAACATTCCAAGAGGTAGCACAAGCAAGTATTATATTTAACTCCAAGTTTCAGATGAGGACGTCAAAGCTCAGAGGGGAGAGTCTTTCTCTGGTTTCGACTCCCTGCACTTTTCCCTACACAACATTCTAATTTGCTAGCTCCCTACACTTCCTGTATGTTAAACTGGCATTCTATTTATTATTAAAAATTGTTTGCATAGTGATTTCTAACTATGTAAAACCACATATGTGTTCAGAAAAGGACTACAAGGAAAGAAACAAAAATATTTCAACGTCTTGACTGTGGCCGAATGTTTTCTTTTATCTTGTTAAAAAACTGTTTTATGTTCTGAATACAAACAGATGATTCAACAGCTTAAATCTCCTTCTGGATCTTGAAATCCACAATGCTCAAGATCAGGCTCCATACATGGAAACTCCCTCCTGCTTCTGCTAGACGTGGCCCCTCAGGTGCGCCCGACTGGCTCTGCTTGCACAAGCATCTGGCTTTACCTGATGCCCCGCAGGTCCCAGACAGCAAAGGGCTACCTTAGCGTTCTTTACTGTGACAAAGTAGAGCCTAGGCTCCTAACACCTGCTGCACAAGTACCCGCCTCACCTGATGGGCTTCTGCGAAGTTCCCCCGGAGGATGCAGGATGCCAGCAGTGACTCAGGTGGGGAGAACATCATGTGGATGAGTGAACTTTGAGGTTGAGGCTGCAACCGGCCATCCAGCTCATTCTTCCCAGATGCAGTGCTCAGACTTCCCTCTGTCAGGACACAAGAATGTGGGGGGTGGGGGGGTCAAGGAAGGGATAGAAATTGAGGAAGAACTATTCTGTCACCTGCTGCCAAACTCCTATCTTCTCAAAGTCCTCTAAAAGGTCTGTAAACGGACCTTGAATTTTCCTCAAATGAAGCGCATACCTATGCTATCATCTTTTTCTTTCTTTCTTTTTTTTAAATTGAGGTATAGTTGACTTACAATACTGTGTTAGTTTCAGGTGTGCAGCAAAGTGGTTCAGTTATATATATAAATATATTTATTTATATTCTTTTTTTCATTCTTTTCCATTATTGGTTATTATAAGAAATTGAATATAGTTCCCTGTGCTATACAGTAAATCCTCGTTGTTTGTCTATTTTATATATGGTAGTGTGTACCTGTTAATATGTTATCATCTTTGAATATAAGACTTATGTACCAACAACCTTCCTTGGGTATTCACCTCTGTTCCTCTCTACTGATGGGTAACTCAGCTGATAGTGAAATAGCCCTTTCCCCACTGAACACAAGCATGAACTGCTCAGTCCAGGTTTTCACACCGTGGTGTGTGGCAACTCTTTATGAGGGCAAAGCTGCTGGAAGTTGGCAACTGGTTGGGACCCCCATACCTGAAGTACTTGTGCTCAGCTCACCACTTGTACTTTCCAGGGATGGGTTGGAACCTCTATCCCGGCCATCTAGAGGTATTAGGAGGAAAGAGAGAAAATCAACCATCAGTGCCTTACAGTGTAGAAAGTGAGAAGTTGGCTTGAAAGCTGAGATCTGGGTAGAGTGAGAAGATAATGGGTAGCTACTATACCAGTGGCCCCTTCTACAGTAAAATGCAAATTCCTACAGACCAAAGGTACAGGGGTGGGCTTAATATGGCCCCAGTGCTCATTTGGATAGTAGCTTATATCAGTGGTTTCCAGTCTCTGGGTCTCAGAGCCCCAGGAGCTTTCAAGTTACTTCTAGGGGTCAGCGACCCCCATTGCTCACTAAGCACTGTCAATAGTCTGAAAAAACAATTAAAGCACAACTATTATGACATGGAACCAGTACGGTGCCAAAGAGGGTCACAAAATTTTCTGACATAGAAAAAGTTGTCCTCATAGTTGAAAAAGTAGGGAACCAAAGTATAAGGCCAGACTGATCAAAGACCATGACATTGGGACTTCCCTGGTGGCACAGTGGTTAAGAATCCGCCTGCCAATGCAGGGGACACGGGTTCGAGCCCTGGTCCGGGAATATCCCACATGCCGCGGAGCAACTAAGCCCATGCGCCACAACTACTGAGCCTGCGCTCTAGAGCCCGCGAGCCACAACTACTGAGCCACAACTAGAGAAGCCCGCGCACCGCAACGAAGAGTAGCTCCTGCTCGCTGCAACTAGAGAAAGCCCACGTGCAGCAACAAAGACCCAACACAACCAAATAAATAAATATATATATATATAAAAAGACCATGATATTGAAAGTCCTGGAGAAAAAGCATCTTCTTCTCAACACCTGCTTTCCTACAGCTGTAGGAAAAGAGAAGATGGATTGTGCATTCTGGGCGGGATGGGTCAGGTGGATGCAAACTGACTCAAACCAATTAACTGAGCAACTTAAGGGGCTCAGCCTTTACGTCTTCCATGTTTCTCTCATGGTAGTCTCCACCCCAGCCAGCATGTTCATGTCTCTTGTTGCCACTTAGCTAAAGCCTACTCATTCTTCTGAGCTTGATTCAAAAGTCAACTCTTTCAGAAAACCTGTTTCTCTGCCTTTGTAGACTACGCTGACCTCCCCGTCCATGAGATCTCTTCTGTTTTCAGGCCGTGCCTCCGGGAAGTTTAAGTTTTTCATGTGTACTGTCTATGCAGGTAAATTATAAATTCCTTGAAGGCAAAGTCCTGGTTTATGCCTCATTCACCTCCCTCAAGATACCTAGTATTTTTTTTAGCACACAGGAAACTCTTTATGAACTCCCTGTTAATTATTTTAAAACTACCAAAAACCATAATGGAAATTTGATTATCTAAAAATTTAATACTTCTGTATAAAGCTTCTGTGTTAAACTCCTTTAGAAAAACTCATAATCAGGGCTTCCCTGGTGGCGCAGTGGCTGAGAGTCCGCCTGCCGTTGCAGGGGACACGGGTTCGTGCCCCGGTCCGGGAAGATCCCACGTGCCGCGGAGCGGCTGGGCCCGTGAGCCATGGCCGCTGAGCCTGGGCGTCCGGAGCCTGCGCTCCGCAATGGGAGAGGCCACAACAGTGAGAGGCCCGCGTAATGCAAAAAAACAAAAACAAAAACAAACAAAACAAAACAAAAAAAACTCATAATCAAAGTCAAAATACAAAATGGAGCAAAACTTGTAGCACAAAATGACCGAATATTTTTCTTAAGGTATAAAGAGCTTCTTACAATTCAACAAGAAAGACAAACCCAACAGAAAATATGTACCTTAGACTGAAAAATATAAATGGCCAATAAACATATGAAAAGACATTCAGTCTCAAACTAAAAATTAGTATTAAAACAATGACACACCATTACTATATTAATCATATTGGCAAAGACTAAAAAGAAACCTGATACTACTCATTTTTGATGAATGTATATGCAAATAGGCACTTACATACAGGTGATGGGAATGTAAATTGGTCCACCTTTTTGGGGGGCAATTTGTTATATCTGTATTTATACCCAAATATACTTTGACCTTCTATATTATACTGCTAGGGACTTATCCTATAGATATACTCACACAAGTATGCACAGACATACGTACAAGGTCGTTTACTGTAGCATTGTTTATAATAGTAAAAAACTGGAAACAATTTAAATGCCCACAAAAGGGTACATATGACAATGGACTACTAAGCAGCCTTTAAAATAAGTGAAGAGAAGTGAGTTCTCAATATAGAGTATGATATGTTTACATATGTAAGAGGATATAAATGAAAAAAGAAAGTTGCAGTTCTCTCTATGTAGTATGATGCATCTGTATATCTAAAATGATATACATGCTTGTATTTCATGGAGAATTTTTGGAAGAAAACTATTAGCAAGGGTTACTTTGGGGGAGTGGGATTAGGATAATCTTAGATCACTTTAGTTTGTACCTTATCTTAAAAAACTGCTTTAAGATACTTTAAGATCTTATCTTTATCATTAGTGTTAAGGTACTTTAAGAACTGCTTTATCTTGAAGAATATCAGACAAGTGGCACTATACCATTTGCCGCTTGTGGGAAGGAGGCATGGAGAGATTACCTGCCCGGCTCCTTCTTGTCCGACGACCCCGGCGGAGACTGGGGTGCCACGTGGCGATGGGCCGGTATCTTCGGGAGGGTTGCTCCTCTGAAACAGCAAACCCAGTGGGTCATACGGGAGGGTGATCAATTTTTTTTTCCAATTGAAGTATTGTTGCTGTACAATATTATATGTTACAGGTGTACAATATTGCGATTCACAATTCTTAAAGGCTATACTCCATTTATAGTTATAAAATATTGGCTATACTCCCTGTGTTGTACAATATATCCTTGTAGCTTATTTTATATCTAATAGTTTGTACCTCTTACTCCCCTACTCCTATGTTGCCCCTCCCCCTTCTGAAAGTGATCAGTTTTGATTTGACCCACCTCCTGGGGTAACAGGTAGGGGAAGATCTGGACTGCCCTGTGCGACACTGAGCAGTACCCTGGAGTTCTGACACAAGTGGCTATGGCGATATGCCCTGAACTAGTGTGACTCCATGCACTCCTAGCTGTCCCACATTCTCGAGACTTTTCTCCCTCCTCCCTTTCTGTTAACTCCTCTCACCTGAGCCCTGGTTGCTGGTCACCACCTTGTACCTCCACTGGGCCTCAGAGAGAACCTTGGAGAACTGGTGCAGGCGGCTCTGCAGTCCGTCTCTGCTGCTGGTGCCCAAGCCACTCTGGCCTTCAAGCTGCTTTGGCTTCTCGGGGGTGCTGCGGCTGCTTAGCTCATCCAGCTGCTCCTGGAGCAGCCTGAGGAAGGCCCCTATTACATATTCATCAGCCAGGAACCCACTGATACCGCTAGTAAAGTGCTTTAGGTCCAAAAAGCTGTGCCTGTGAGGCTCTGGGGAACTGTCTTTTGGCTCTGCCTTCAGAGAGCTTGGAACTGTGTAGGCCAGGCTCCTGGAGGCCCCCAGCGAACCCTGTTCTGACCTCCTCTCAGGCTGTGCTATGTGCTGAGGGCTCTCTGACGGGGACCTCAAACCCGACGGGCCCTTCCCCTCAGCGTCATCATCCTCAGCGTAGTCCTCGGGCAGGTGAGGCTCTGGGTGAAGATCAGCAGAGGTGATAAGGAGCAATGAGAAGATGTTTTCTAGAAGTTCCAGGCACAGAGAGTCAGGAATACTGCACAGATACTGTTGACACCTGGCCAGGTATGTTGAAAAGAGATCTGAAGCACCTGAAGAAGCATGTATAAAAGAAGAGGCCAGAGAAAGAGAAGGAAAGAGAGAAAATGCAAACATGAGAAACAGTACTTGCCAGACTCAAACATTCTCCCAAGTTTAACTCATTTCTTTCTTTGTAGTGACTCAGGGAACCGTGGTTACAGTCAGAAGACTAAGAGGCTATTGAGCCACGTCTTTTCATGATTTGTAGAAAGATTTTGCTCCCTTAAAGTACAGTTCAGTGAACACTCATTATTTTGTTTCTGCTTTTTAAAATTACATTACTCCTTATCTCTGAGAAGCCCTCCATATTTCAGTTCCTAGAATGAAGGCAACCTGGAGACTCCTTATTCCTCAATTCCTGTTTGCACTCATTGTTATACTACAGGTGATCACAGCCTACCCAGATCTCTTAAAATGACCATGCTCAGAGGTGAAGGTCTATTCCAAAGCTGCAAGGGAGAGATACTTGACCACCAGTCACAGAAAGCAAGGTAAGGAGTTATAAGTTTTTAAGAAAAATGAGAGCTAATAGGACACAAGGTTCTTTCAAACTGTAGGCTGTGACCTATGACACTGACTTAGACGGCTGCATTTGAAAAAACGAAATAAAGCAGAAAAATAATCAGGAGTGTGCTCTGTTTGGAAGGGTAAGTAATGTTTCTTAAAACTTATTTCAGTTTACGCATCACATACACACATATACACATACACACGAAAGCACAAATTATATACCTAGGTGCAAACTGGAGTGATGTGAAATGCTATCTACTGTGGACTGGAGTAAAAAAAGAAGCATTTGGAAAACACTGTACTAGGTGCTCAGGCTCTGTTAGAACTTATGCAGATCACTTGCTTTCTCCATGTCCCTTTGATTCACAGAGGCTGATAAATGGATGAAATTATTCGTGGGCATAATAAAACCAAGGCCACCTCCCAGCCCTGGTGGCAAAGGGTTCCCGCGCAGAGAACCTGCTGGGATAGGTTGTTCCCAGCTCCCGCCAGGGAAGGGGTGGGGGGCGGCGCTGCACCTGGGGAGGAGAGAGAATCCTTCACTGACTCTGCAGCCATGGCCAGGTCCTCTGAGGGACCCTCTTTGCATTCCTGGCACTGGGAGTGCCGGTGTGAGTTCACACAGAGGGCATAGATGGCATACTTCATGGCACAGAAGCTCCGGTAGAGTGTCAGGTTCTGACACCGGCTCAGGTGCACAGGGACCGTGGCGTCAGTTGAATCTGAATTATAGAGAGAAACAGACAGAACTTCAGAGATGCTACTTATTTTTTATTTTAATTTTTTAAATTTTTGGTTGCATTGGGTCTTCGTTGCTGCTTGCAGGCTTTCTCTAGTTGCTGTGAGTACGGGCCACTCCTCGTCGCAATGCCCGGGCTTCTCACTGCGGTGGCTTCTCTTGTTGCAGAGCACGGGCTCTAGGCGCGCAGGCTCGGTAGTTGTGGCTCACGGGCTCTAGAGTGCAGGCTCAGTAGTTGTGGCGCACGGGCTTAGTTGCTCCGTGGCATGTGGGATCTTCCTGGACCAGGGCTCGAACCCATGTCCCCTGCATTGGCAGGCGGATTCTTAACCACTGCGCCACCAGGGAAGTCCCAGAGATGCTTCTTTCAGGCAGGGGCTGCATGTATGGCTGAAGCAAAGAGATGCCACACTGCTAGTCCCCTAGGTGTTCTCACCCTCTCTCCTTTCTGGCAGTGTGATGTGCATCCCTTCCAGGCCTTTTTTTCTATTCAACAACTTTCAGTCTCTTGGTTTCCTTTTCCCCACCAACCTCCCCTCTACATGTCTGTTCAACCTAGGCTTCATGGCTATTTAACAAATCTTTCCCTTACTTTTCTTAAAATACTTGTTTGTCCTTTTTTAAAAAAATAAACCTTGAAGTACTTGTTTGGTCTACCTTTCGAATATATGCCACATTACCCAAGAGGCAGGCTTAAAATGTGTTCAGATTGAGAAATAAGAGAGCAAAGGTAACATGGTGTTTAAAAAAAAAAAAAACTTGATATTTTTAGGAAAGCCCTGAAGCAGACATCATGAGAAAAAACATAAACTCTGTTGAGATTCCATACACTTGTTTAATAATTTATAATTTTTCATTAAAAATTTGTTTTGAACTTAGGAGGAAGGAAGGTTACCATCTTTACAGAATCTCTAAACATCTCAATATAACCATAATTCTTATCATAGCAAAAGTATAACCTGTTCAAAGAAAAAACATTAAATGTAATAAAGCAAAAAGAAGAAAAAAATACCACCCATAGGCCTACCAGCTAAACACAACCACTGCTACATTCTGGTTTAACCCCTTTAATAGTTTTGTGTACATGTGCATGTGTTTGAGTGTAACATTTTATATACTTTTTAATTTTCCTACTTCTTAAAAATCCTTTAGAGCATAAGCATTTGATTATGTTTCTTTACAAACTAAATCTCTGCTGGATGCACATAGTTCTACTGAATGAATCCCTTGTCTAGGCATATTCCTCAAGGGCAGGACACTGGAAATAGTTAGGGATGTTTTGCTACTACAATGCTGCAACAAGCCCCTTTAGGTATAGGTTTCCTAGTGATTACTTCTTAGAAGCTTGGCCTTGCCAAGGTCAGGGTAATAAGCAGAACAAAGTCAATATTGTTCTATGGCCTTGACCTCTTCATGGCATTATTGCCCAGAGCCAGGACTTGCAAGCACGCTGAGAGGGAGTGGCTCCTTACATTTTTGCCCCAGATGCCTCTCTTGCCTCACCCTAGTCCAAGCCCTATTATCACTCCTCTTTTGCCTTTTCCAAGTTCAAGTTCTAAGTGTGTTCTGGTGGGTCCCCGGGGATAGATTTCAAACACTTCTTCGGAAGCCTTTTGTACTTGTATGTAGAAAGCAGAGAGTTCCAGTTCCTTTAGGAAATCTGCTAAACAAATTGTCTACCTTTCCAAAAAAATATAGAATATAGTAACACTAGTTTTACAATTAGTGGTAGGTCCTTTAAAAAAGTAAATCCAAGCAATATCTAAGCTGACAGACATCTACTGCCATACGAGAATGTTTGTTTCTCTCAAAAGTAAGGTGTCCAGCCTGTGTAGTAGGTTGTGACCACACCATCATATGATTTTTGAGAGCAAAAAAGAGTGAGCTTGTTAATGGGGACTTGAATTTTAAGCAAAGATCTAAGGTTAAAACAAGGCTTTGTGGGCTTCCCTGGTGGCACAGTGGTTGAGAGTCCGCCTGCTGATGCAGGGGACACGGGTTCGTGCCCCGGTCTGGGAAGATCCCACATGCCGTGGAGCGGCTGGGCCCGTGAGCCATGGCCGCTGGGCCTGTGGGTCCGGAGCCTGTGCTCCACAGCGGGAGCGGCCACAACAGTGAGAGGCCCGCGTACCGCAAAAAAAAACCCAAAAAAACAAGGCATTGTTACTGTTTCAGGCAAGTCTTTCTTCTAAAAGAAAAACTCTAAAAAAAACTCAAAAGAAGAATCTTCTAGAAGAAAGACTCTTTACCTGTTCAATAGACTATGAAGAAGATATGGGAGGGAAGGAAGGCACAAAATGTGCTGTAAGAAAGCTTATGAAGCATGGAGAGACTCATCAAGAATTTGCATAAATACTGCCAGTGACAATGCTGTGAATTCAGAGGGCAGTTCCTAATTCTCTTTCAGTGAAATGAGGGTATGCTCACGGTTCCTGAGCTGGATCCATGAGGACAAAGGTTCCTATGGAATTGTTCTCATAGGATACCCTAGGCCTCACCAAGAAAGGGGAAGATGTCCCTACATCTTGTAATCTGATTGTGGCAAACAGCACTAATTTAGAGGGTACCTGCTGGACCACCCATCTTCATAGATCCCAGCAATCACATCTAGGTAAATCTTGTGCTGTAAGAAACATCTGCAAGATTGTCCTAAGAGGGAACCTTGCCCAGGTCACTCCATCGCCAACTCACCATGCGCTTGCTGGGGGTCCTTGGCTGGCACCTTCTGTAGGAGCTTGAGGACATCTTCCTCCCTGAGGGCTGGAAGGTTTGTAAGGTGATGGAGAGAGTAGAGCACTGAGTGGCTTTCTCCACCATGTAAGTGACACAAGAGATCTCTCTTTGGTATGGGGTTGCTGAAAGGGAAAGTTGGGAGGATGGAAGGGGAGGCAGTTTATATAATTGCTTTGAGAAAGACCAGTCTCCATTCCCTCTTATTCTTTCTCTCTGGCCTGTAACACCACAGGTTTCACTTCCCCAAACACTAAATTTCAGTTGGTCTATGAGAGAGGATAGGATTTATTTACCCCCAGGGAAGGACATTCATCAAGCTGGCTTTACTTGTCTAGTAAGGACCTAGGAAGGGCCTCTGTGCTCAGCAGGGTCTAGAAAGGGCCCATAGATTAAGCTTCCTAATTTCTGTAATTTTCCTAGCTGAGAGCTGACACGAGCCTCTCTGCTTTTCTTTGAGTCAGGGCCCCTTGCTACGTCCCCCAGTGGCCTACTCGACTTCAGAAGTGCTGGTGAGGTGGGTGAAGAACAAAATAAGAACCCAGATCCAGGGAAGACCCAAGGCTAAGTTATCAGGAAAACACAGGGCCGCGCACACATTTCAAGAGGCAGTTGTTGAATAAAAATGTGATCCAAGATAACAGGTGGCTAAGAATGTGGACCACACTCACTAGCTGTGTGACTTTGAGCATGTTATTTAACACCTCTGGGCTTCAGGTGCCCCACCTTTAAAATGAGGATAATATTGGTGTTTACCTCACAGGATTATTGTCAAGCTTAAGTGAAATCATCACGTAAAGGGCTTAGAGCAATGCCTGGTGTATAGTAAGTGCTCAGGAGATGTGAGGTTTTGTTCTTGTGATCACTGTCATCCTTAAATTATCCTCTAGTTATGACCTTATGGCTGTGGTGAAGATAATCACTACTTATGCTCCTTTCCTGGTTTAATAGTTGGAACAATTATTTGTTGCTGGTCAACACTGTCAACTTAAACCATTTACAGGGAAGATGTCTTGAAATGGCCACACGTGCAGAGCATGGGTCAAGTGTGCCCAGTGGTGGGAAGAGGGCTGGCTGTGCAGGGCCATACCTGCTCTGCTGCACACACCACTCCAGGACCTCCAGGTGAGCCCACAGCCCATCACAGGCATCCCTGAGGAGCTTATCACAGCCTTGGTCCTGTGTTGATACGGGAGAAGAAAGAGATGCTGACTCAGGCACCTGGGGTCAGAGATGGGACCAACTTCAGGACCCTGCATTCTGCCTCAGCCCAAAGTGCCACCACACTCATTTCCGGAGCTGCTTGGGCTGCAGAGTGAGAGTTACCTGGGTCCTGTGGAGTGTCTGGAGCAGCCTCTGGGCTGACGCTAGGCTCTGGCAGTGTGTCCAGCCCAGGAGCACGAGCAGTCGACTGAGAGGGCTGAATTCTCTATCTAGCAGGCAGCCAAGACTTGGGAAGTCTTCCTCCTTCAACAGGGTGAGTGCTGTCACCTGGAAGCCAAAGGCGGCTGCTAGAGGCAGCTCTGGGGACTTGCTGCTAATCAGGGTAAGAAGCTTTTCAGTATAGAAGGGAGGTTCCTGACAATGACAGAAGTGGCCAGTTGAATACAAAGTGTTTAGGAAAACACTAGACTGTAAGCTCCTAGAAGGCAGGGATTGACTTCTGTTGTATCCCCAGATCCTAGCATAGTACATAGTACATAGAATGAGGTTAATAAATAGCTGTTGAAGAACTTTCCTGGTGGTCCAGTGGTAAAGAATCCCCCTTCCAATGCGGGGGACGTGAGTTCCATCCCTGGTCGGGGAACTAAGATCCCACATGCCATGGGGCAACTAAGCCCGTGCACCACAACTCTGAGCTCGTGTGCTTCAACTAGAGAGCCTGTGTGCCACAAACTACAGAGCCCACACACTCTGGAGCCCACGCACCACAACTACAGAGCCCACGTGCCCTGGAGCCCACGCACCACAACTAGAGAGAGAAAACCTGCACGCCACAACTAGAGAGAAGCCTGTGCGCCGCGATGAAGAACCTGTGTCGCAATGAAAGATCCTACGTGCCGCAACTAAGACCTGACACAGCCAAAAAAAAATAAATAAATAAATAAATAAATAAATATAAAAAAATAAATAGCTGTTGAATTAAACTAAAGCTCAGTTGCAATCTGGAAGGAGAAGGTTAGAGTAATTAGAGTCCCCTGTCAGCTAGGCAACATATTGCTGCCACTGTCTTTTCTTCCTCGCACCCTCCAGAAAGCTTACATGTATCCAACATTTCAGTGCCTGCCCAAGGACTGACACAAAATGCTGGCAGTTCTAATTATGAATGATACTGGTTCTCAGAGCCTTCTGGAACTGTGGGATGGACGCAAACTAGACGACTCACTGTTAATTAAACTGCTTTGTGTTGGATAAATGAGTGCGAGAGAAAGGAGGAGTGAAGAAGCCTGGACAGAGTCCCTGGGTACTTGAGTGGAGAAGCACTGAGTTTGACTTACCAGGATCTGCTCGAGGAAGTGCTTGCTGTTGCTCAGGCAGTAGAAATAGGCCAATTTCCAAGCCTGGGCTGGGTCAGGATTGGAGAACAAGGCTAGCATTGCCCGCTCAGGATCCAGATGAGCCGGTGAGACTGAAAATCAAATCAGATGGGGTTACTGGGGAACTGGACTCTTCTTTCCTAAGGTAAAGCCCGTTTGAAAAACCAACTGATATGACAGTTCACTCTTTTAAAAAGTTAAACCAGGTTTTCTACACTTCTCTCTTAAAGACTCTTTACTTCTCTCAGTAGTTTCTGAAAAGTTCTTTTCTGCTATGATTATTACTTCATTTTTTTTCTCCATCACTCTTTCTTAAGCTATGAAAGCTGTGCTTTCACAGTACATCTTGCCCATTTTTGCTTAGCTTCTCCCATTAGGTTTCCTGAACAACATGGAAGGGAGCAGGCTAGAGGGAGTCAGAGGGCCTGGGCAGAGTGGAATTAGAGAAGCAGTGCAGGGAACACACCTTTTCCAGAGGGTGTGGTGGTCGGTGGCTTTTCTGGGGCCTTCTCTGCATAGGTGTGGCCATACAGGGACACCAGGCCCCGCCCGGCCTTGTGCAGCAGGCAGCCGAGCAGCTGCTCCTCCCGCAGGGGACTCCCCTCCGACCTGCTGGCCTCCAGCAGTTCCTCACACAGGAGATGCAGCTCAGCCCCGAGCGGCTCTGCAGGGCAGCGCAGAGTCCGCAGGGCTCCGTAGATGGCATCGACTGCCCCTGGGTGCCTGACGGCAGGATCCCGCAAAGCTCGCAGTGCCTTTCGAATGAGGTCCACCAGCGCCTTCTGCAAGAGCCAGCCTTGGAGGCCCATGCCATCTTCCTCCCCAAGCAGGAGCTCCAGCAGGGCCTGCGCGGGCTGAGGGGCCTCCCGCAGGAGATCCCAGAGCAGAGAGACAGCTTCTGAGCTGAGCCAAGGGGGCCAGCTCTCTTGCCTCTGATTTCCATCAAGCACAGGGTCTGCTGCATCTTGTGCTAAGACCGTGTACAGCTCCTAAACAGGGGATGAAGAGAGGGATGGGCGCTATGTCCAGAATTTTATCACTTACACGCCTTCATGTTTTCCTCTTTTCAGTGTATATATATTCACGTGTGTATATACAATAGTAGCAACAGCAAATACTTCTGTAGTAGTTACTATGTGCCAGGTCCTTTACACAGAAAAATTAAATTAATACTTACAATCACCTTAGGAAGAAGACACTACTGTTATCCTCGTTTTGAAGGTGTCATCAAATCAGGGGGTTGAGGCAAAGAGAGATTTGCCCAAGGCCTCCATGCTCAAGCTAGTCACCCCCACCCCCATTGCCTCCGAAACGTGCACTGTCAATCTAAATCAGGGACTGCAAACTCATAGACCAGGTAACAGATGGGAATAAGACACTATGCCCAGCTCAAGGCGTTTAAATTCAACTTTTAAAAGAATACTACAGACCAGTTTTTAACCCCTGATCTAAATCCCAACCAAGATTTTGGATACAGCCCATTCTTCATCCCTCCCTAAAACCTTCCCCAGTACCTCCAACTCACACAACTTTCCCTCTTTATTGGGCTTTCAATGTTCTTAAAATTAGTACCATATGGCTTAGTACCTAATTGTGCCATGTGTGTATTTCCTTCCCCCCCAACTAGATTGCAAGCCTTTAAAAGGCAAGATCTCTGTAGCCTATAATTTGTTTGGTAGGTTATTTCCCACACTTCAGCACCATTCCTGTGGGTGGTACTCAGGGATACCTGTTCATTAACTGCCTCCAAGATGGTCACAGGACCATGAGTCCTTGACCTAATACAAGTGAAAGTCCCTACCTTAAATCCTATTGTGAATATATCTTCAGTTAGCTGGTGGCTGGGTCATGAAGAAAATAAGTATTGAGACTCAGAGCATCCCTCAGGCACTTAAGTATAGATCTAGTTAAGATTTTGAATCTGCTCCCAGAAGGCAGTTGTAAGGATTAGCTATAACACATTCAGTGCACCTGTTACAGAAAAGGTATTCAGCAAATACATACTAGTTCCTTTCTCCCTTTATATTCCCTGCCACATTCTGGTGAAAAATTTAAACACCTAGTTTAAAACCAAGTTAGGTATTCCTTTCACGTGAAATGAAAAAAAAAAATTAATCCTCAACTATAATTAGTACTTCTGGCCAAGCTACCTCTAAGAATTCTACAATCAGATAAGTTTCCCCTATCTCTAAATTCCCCTCAAGGGGCCTCCACCTAGCCTGGTCTTGCCTGAGAACAGAGAACTGCCAACATCTTGGGGACCTGTTTCTGCTGGATCCCTGAAAGTTGAATTTGTTGAGTGACTGCAAACCTGGGCAGACAGATCCAGGGCCCTCTCTCACCTTGAGGATGTCCTCTGGGATGTCACCTGGGAGGTCTTCTGACAATAAAAGAAACTCAAGTTTTCTCCGGAAGCCAGCTGGAAGTAACTTCTAGAAGAATCATAAGAAGGAAGCATAGATATTAAGCATATGCTTTAGCTGACAATTATAAGTAAATATTTCTTTCTGGTTCATCTTATTTCTGCTGTTTTCTCTAAGATAAAGTACTTCTGACCATTAAATTCCTGGGTATGTCTTCAGACACTTTTCTTTATAAACGGAAACAGCTAAACTGAACACATACTCCTCTTAAATACTAACACTTAAATCCCACACTGTTTAGCCTCAAATGCCAAGGCTTGCTTATTTCATGTGATTTTTTGCCTCTAACTTGAAGTCCTTCTCCAAGACTCTCCCTTGCAGTGTCCAAAACACCCAGTTATGGGTAAGCTGGGATGGAATGGCCCACATGATCCTCTTTTGGCCTAAACCCATTTCTGGTATTCATTTTTAGTTGGAAAATAAAAGTAAAGGGGGAGAGATCTAATGTTTATGAAACACTTATTATGTGCCAGGTACTATGTGCCATATTTTCATGTGTTTTTAAAAATCTCATTATATCGCTAAATAAAACAAAACTATGGCATCAGGATGTTTTTAAAAATAATCTTCAGTAATGATGAAATGGTTAGGAAGTATTTTCTAATCATTTCAAGCATGAAAAGGAAAAAGTGACCCCATTGTTTGTTAATGAGACAGGACATCAGAGACTAATGTATAAAGGAAGAGAAAGCCTGTGACTCTTCCTGCACCTGCTTGTTTCACAATAACTTCCCTTCACCTGGTCCTTAAAACTAAAATGATAGTCCCCCTTTCTCCAGACACAAATACAAATGAGATGAAAGCCTGGGACTAATTCTGACAGGCACTCTTTTAAATTAGAGACACCTGTAAATCATGCCATCTGAATGCTTATATAATGCTAATGATTGGAAGGTGTAGAGAAAATTCATTCTGGCAAGCTGAAAGTTAGTGATTCTATCAAGGACTAAGAGGAAGGAATAGATAAGCCCAGACAACTGGTTAAGATTTTAGGACTTTCATTAAAATCCTAAAGACTGACTAGCTTGTATCTTTTTTTTACTGGTGAAATTACTTTATGCATATGCAGGGTCATAGACAACTAACATTCCTAAACCAGGCAAGAATTTGCCCAATGTTTCTAAGCACAGATTTTCTTACTATAAAAGCAAGGCATGTTCAATGCAGAAAAAGCAGAGAATATAAACACGCAAATGAAAACATACATACACAACACCCCCCCCAAATCTTTCCACTGAAGGAGAACTATAGTTACAACTGTGTTCTAAGGGTATTCAGACCATTTTCTACATATGCATATATGCATGCATAACAAACATACTGTTTTCTAAATTTTTTTTCTTCACATAGCAGAATATAAACATCCTCCCATGTCACTGAAAATTCATTGACCACGTAATTTTAATAGTGCCATGGTATTTTACAAGTAGATTAATCAGTCTTGGATTGTGGACATGGGAGTTGTTTCTATTTTTCCTTTATTAGAAGCAGCATGCTGTGAACATCATGCTGTTCACGTGATAAAAGATAAAAGGGCATAAGGCAAAAATAGATGAAGGAAAGGGAAAATGGAATCAGTTTCAACAAATAATTCAAAAGGAGCTTTTGGCAGCAGGTGGGAGACTGTAGCAGGAGCAGCCAGCAAGTCCCTAGAAGATGAAGTCCAGTTCTGGCTTTGTACAACTACCTCAGGAACACATTTGAAGTCTTGGTCCTTGTATTAAGTTTTAAAACTCTCTGAGGTCCTTGTATAAAGTTTAAAACATTCCCACGACTGTTTAAATAACTGAGGTACTGGAGCTTTAAGGACCAAATGATCTTCAATTCTGGGAAAAACAACTCTTAGTCTGTGAAAAGGAGCCAGGAAAGTGAAATCCACCTCCTGATCTGGTTGACCAACTGTCCAGAAATTTAACAACTACCAATCAGCCATAAAGTAAACAAATACCCTCTGCTGAGACAAAAGTTCATTTGGCTTGACAAATTCCATGTTTGTATTGAAAAGCTCCTTAGTCAGTAACAATAACATTTGTTATTTTTTTTCTTTTCTCTTTGAAGATACTATTGTATATTTTAGCTGAAGATGTCTCTTTTAGATCTGAAGCTACAGCCAACTCTTAAACAACCTGGGGTTGATTATTTTTCAGTTTTGCTTCTTTTTCTTCCCTCTTCTGCTGATCTTTTTGGCATTTCTCTTTGCTAGACCATTACCAAAAGCCTGGATAATAAACACATTTAGATTAGTAAGCTCTGGTGCTTTTTGACAGCTATGTGAAGAAGGGTAAGTGTCAGGCCAAAGCAGAACTAAAGACAAAATTCATTCTGATGACTGAGAGAAATTAAGAAGAAAATTAGGCTAAATTATAGACATTTACAAAATAGAATTTATGGTTTCTTGTGGCTTACCTGGCGGTGCAGTGGTTAAGAATCTGCCTGCCAACGCAGGGGGCATGGATTCGAGCCCTGGTCTGGGAAGATCCCACATGCAATGAAGCAACTAAGCCCATGTGCCACAACTATTGAGCCCACGTGCCACAACTACTGAAGCCTGCTTGCCTAGAGCCCATGTTCTGCAACAAGAGAAGCCACCGCAATGAGAAGCCTACGCACCACAACGAAGAGTAGCCCCCGCTCGCCTCAACTAGAGAAAGCCTGTGCACAGCAACAAAGACCCAACGTAGCCAAAAATAAATAAATAAAAATTAAAAAAAAGAATTTATATTTTCTTAATTTTAAGTCTATGTAGGCTAAAAATATTGTTGAGGTGGAAAAAGCAGAGGACTGATGACTCGAAGGCAGAAGACATTGGTTCCAGCTCCAATTTTGCCAACTAACTTTATGGTGTGACCCTGGGCCAGTCATTTATTTTCTGAGTCAGAGGTTCCTCACTTAAATCTTAAAGTCTCAGGTTTAATACAAAACTGCCGAGAATTTTTTAAATGGATATCAATTTCTGATAATTAACACATATTTCTAAAAGTGCTTTGAATGGTAATTTTTCTTAAAAAAATAAAAACCAAAAACCCTTCCTTACAAGTTTTCTTTCACTATTAATTTGCTCACTTTGTTTTCATATTTGGTAACTTTTATTTCAATTCATGTGAGTTGTTAAATTGTTAATTAATGACGTTTAAATCTATAAGATTTCACTGTACTGGACTAGTTAAAATAAGATTTTTGGATGAACAACTAAGTTTCAGCTCAGCCCATTCTCCCTTACTTGAGTATTATGAGGATTAGACTTTATTCACTATCTTGTCACTTTCACTGAGTTCTGCAAAGTTCTGTTTGGGCACAAGACTCATAATAGTATTTAACACAATAGTATCACCTCAGATGGTAGGTTAGTGAATTAATGCCAATGTAAGTTAGTGAATTAATAAATGAATTTAGGTAAAGAGACAGCAATAAATACTTAAGCCATTCTCACTGTCAATACTGAGAAAGGAATATGACAAACCTCAAAATACAGAAAGTAACAGACAAAAGGGAAATTTCATAACTCCTTCCAAGTTCTTTTCAGTCTTGGCCTCGGGCGAAAATTTTAAATGTAAACCTACTTACCTTTTCCAGGGCCAACCATTTTTCCAGTACAAGAAGCCAGACCCAGGCTAATCTTTGAGGGTTGATATCCTGTCCACATCTGAGAAATGTAAAAAGAAAAAATTTCTAAACAAAGAGTTTCTACTGACCTTTTCTCTTTTGTGATCCAAGATTTAGATTTCACTACTCAGTCTGTTTTAAACCTGAACCGGTAAGACATTGTCCTGAGAAATTTTTTAATGTATATGACAGATCAATAAAACAAGAACCTGAACAGAACTAGCAGCTTTCATTTAAAAAAAAAAAAAAAAAAGTCGCAATTCTACCTCCACCTCCCTATCTAGTTTTTAAAACAAACTAATATTACACAGAAAACCATAAGAGCAAAGCTATCTGAAATAGAAAACTTGAAATCTTGAAAACAGAATCAAATAGTCAAAGAAAAAAGGAACTTCATAAAAATTTATTTTTAACTCTATGCCAGAAACAGGATTATAAGAATTCATAAGCCTTTCTTTGAAGTTAGTAATTTAAATTAGACAGCAATTGGCTAGAATCCAAATTTAAGGGAAAAAACAAAGGAAGAAAAGAATCATGTAAATCTCCACTCTGTATGCGCTAATACAGTACTTTCTCATAAGTAACTGCCAGAGTAAGGAAAAGTGAGGGAGAGACTGAACGTTTAACTCCTATACCACTAATTGTTAATAGCACTGCCAGGAAGAACTTCATTCAAAATTCAGATAGAGAACATTGGTTGCCAGGGGACAAGGGAGGATCAGTGTACAAAGAGGTATTCCCAGGGAGCAAGGGAATTCTTTTGTGGTGATGAAATAGTTCTGTACCTTGATTATACTGGTAGTTATATGAGTCTAAGAATGGATAAAGATACACAGAACTACACACATAAAGGTGAATGCAGATTGGGACTATCCTGGCAGGCCAGTGCTTGGGACTCTGCACTTCCAATGCAGCGGGGTGCATGGGTTCGGCCCCTAATAGGATCCCGCATGCCCTGAGGTGCGCCCCCCCCCCAAAAAAAAATGAATTCAGATTTAAAAAATGGTGAAAACTGAATAAGGGCTGTAGTCTAGTTAACAGTACTGGTGTCAATTTCTTGGTTTTGATATTTATTATAGTTATATAAGATGTCACAATTGGAGGAAGTTGGGGAAAGGGTACTCTGTATTGTTTGTGCACTTTTTGTGAGTCTATGCTTAATTATTTCAAAATAAAAAGCTTTAAGTGAATTCACTTCTGGTCCTTTGTTAAAGCTACAACAGGGCTTCCCTGGTGGTGCAGTGGTTGAGAGTCCTCCTGCCAATGCAGGGGATACGGGTTCCTGCCCCAGTCCGGGAAGATCCCACATGGCGCAGCGCAGTGGTTGAGGGTCCGCCTGCCGATGCAGGGGACGCGGGTTCGTGCCCCGGTCCGGGAAGATCCCACATGCCGCGGAGAGGCTGGGCCTGTGAGCCATGGCCGCTGAGCCTGCGCGTCCGGATCCTGTGCTCCGCAGCGGGAGAGGCCACAACAGTGAGAGGCCCGCGTACCACAAGAAAAAAAAAAAAAAAAGCTACAACAATATCTTCAATTTCACAAGCAAGAAGGGAGCAGGTTTGCTCTTTTGGGGGTAAAGAAAATGCTTTTCAATGTAGTTGCACTATCTACTTTAATGATAATAAACAAGAAATGGTGGTTCCAGGCTTAAATACCGCTCCAGATGATAATTCAAAGCCAAACTGATAAAGTAATAAATAGGCATGTATTATAGAGGTAAATTTTCAGAACATGTGAAATACACTCTACCTTTGTTAACTCTTCAGAGGTGATTGAATGAGGCACAGGGACCAGAGCTCAAGTATAGTACCTTGTGTCTCCCGCCCTGTGACTGCCTGGCAGGAAGACAGAGTTCCCTTACCTCAGCTGACTGGGACACATGACCAGCGCCTGAAGTATATCTTCCACCTTATTTGGGATATCCCCTTGGGCCTCGTGTAGCTGAGGTACACATGCCTGTGCCAACTCCCATTCTCCTCTCCGAAGGCATTCACAGAAAAATCCAAAAAGCTGCTTCTGAGAAGCAGTTTCCTCTTCTCCAAATGGATGATGCATTTTCCCAGCACAGAGTGCAGGGAGATAGAAAGAGAGGAATTACGCAAAACACATTGTCAATTTTCTCACTCGTGGAGTACCTCCTAGAAACAACACACACCCGAGTCAGAAGAAAAGGAAGGAACTATATTTAGACAAACTAGCCAGTACTAGCCGCACTAGGAAAGGCGGGGCTTACTTTTCTAATTAACGTTGTAAATTTGATTTGACAGGTTACTGTCTCTTTGGGGAAGTTCCACATTTCCCCAAGGGGTGGATCCCATCTCTGTAGGCGCATCCAATATTTAACGAATATTAATCGTCATATTAGCCCGCGGCGCAGACCCGAAACTCCACTTCCGTACTTCCTCCTGAGCTTTATGCCTAACCCGGCTCCAAATCCCCAGGTGGTCGCCTGTTTACGGTTGAGAAATTCCGCAGGAACCTCCCTAGTTTGAGCCCTCTTTTAAGGCAGAGGATTGAAGATCAGGAGAGGAATCTGTGTCAGAACTGGAGAGCAGTTGGGATTGGGGCTCAGGGACGCTCCCTACCGGGGTCGTGGAGAGAGCTTCCGCCTTCCCTGGGGCGCCTTACACTCACCTGCTCCCGGCACCCAAATCAGCACAGTTTCCAGCGCAGCCATGTTTGAGCTGAGTCAGGTGACAAATCCAGTTCAGAAAGTTGAGGGAGGGAGAGGATGACGACTGACAGCAGCTACTCTAATTGGTCAATCGAGGAAATATGCAAATAAAGCGCCATATTTGTTTGGGTCACGTGATTCCACCTCCGCATTAGAGGAAGCTAGGAAAGAGGTGTCAGCTACCTGGTTTAGGACCACCGCTCACAGTTTTGACAGATCCTCCGCCCGTTAATTGAACTGTGTGCTAGGGCCTACTTTAGAAGCTGAATAAGATACGGTCCTTGTCCTCAAGGAGATCACAGTCTAGTGACGGGGTGCAGGTCAATAATTAGGATGCAGTGGGCTAAATTATAAGATAGAGGTATGCACGGGGAGATGGGAGCAAAGAATGAGCAAAAGCCCTTCTCAAATATAATAATCTGAAACCGAGTCTTAAAGTAACGGTTTACTAGTTTGCTAATCACAGCTGCTTTTATACTGAACCTTCTGGTTTTTTTCCTTGGTGTTCTTCAACTATAGACTCTCACGTTTCCCCATTACATATTTTCGGTTTGAGCAGTTTCATTCAGCATTTTCCAAACTATTTCACCACCAAAGGGTGGTGAAAAAAAGCAAACCAAAACAAACCAAAAGCTCTCTTCCAAAACCTCTTCGATGATTGGTGGATTCTCATCTATTCCCAGAAAACTAACATGTCTCTCTGGTCCATTAATCAGTTTTTAAATGAAGTGACAAAAGAAAGAAGAGAGAAAATTAGAAGCAAGTTTTTTCCTGGCTCATATTCTCTTTGCTGATGTTCCTCCACCGGATTTTGATAATCACTATATTGAGAAGCTGGGACTCGTAGACTTATTACAGAATGTGAACTACAATTCCCAGCAAGCAACGGAGCCGACCTGTGCCTGTGCCTACGTTTTATTGGATATTTCGCCAGGGTGACGACCCAACCAGCGCTTTGTTTGTTGCTTTGCGTCCCTTTCCGCGGGGAACTGTGTGAGGGCTAGGGGAAACTTTGAAAGTTGGATGCTGCAGACCCGGTACTGGAAAGTTTCATGTGGGGGGCGGTTTGGGGAATTGGGGGTGCGCTCATTATTTCCTGCTCCTTTTCTGGGCCAGTGTTGTTGATATCGGGGGAGCGGAGAGTCACTCTTGGGTGCAGGGCACACCCCCTTAGGTCCATAAGGATCTTAATTTGAGCCCCGCCGCAGATCTGAGGCGTCTGGCTTTCCTTTGTAGGGGACGCTTGGAAGCTGCACCTTGTTGGGAAGAGTTATTGTTAGGGGCTTCTGGGGTGATGTTTTCTCTTCTTGATGTCCACCCGTCTTCCCACTTGTGGGCAGTTTGAGGTCTAGGCAGGGGAGCCCGTCATTAAGGGAAGTTTAGTGTCTGACCCTCTTCAGATGGTGTTGAAGATATGGAGTCAGATCCCTGGGTTCGAATGCCTACTCCACCATGTGCTAGTTGTTAGACTTCGCTCAAGTTTTTCAGCTCAATGCCTCAATATTAGTCTGTAAAATGGGGTAAAACATCTGAAGCTCTTGGAACAGCGGCACCTAATAAAGGCTCAAGAAATATTAGCTATTATCTGTTAATTCACAGTTTTCATTGACCATCTAACATGTGGATTTTTTTTTTCTTGATGAGGAGAGGATTCAGTTTCCAGGATTGAACATCTTCCCTCACACCCTCAGTTACATGCTTGTGCACACACACGCAGAGCAAGAATTTACGGTTTCTGGTGGAAAAAACAAACATGCAAGCCATAACAATACGTTAGGAAGATTATCGAACAAATGTGTACACAGTGTAATGAGAACATTGGAGAGGAAGAGCCTAAGTAGTGGGAAGTCTTTGTGGAGGAAAGTCAGGGAGGCAGGGAGGCATTTGTGTAACCTACCAATGTTACCGCCGGAAGGCAGGTCACGTGAGGCAACTAATGCTGTTTTCCTGAATGAATTGATCATAATCCCTAGCCTTGAGCACTACGGAGCCAGGCTCCATCCACATCCTTTAACCTTCATTGCACTCCTGTGAAGTGGATATTTGAATGATGCTTGTATTTCAGATGAAGAAACTAAGTTACTGGGAGGCAAGTGATTTTGCGAGAAAGGCCAGAATGTGGGCCTTGCAGTCTGATATATGAATGTGAGGGAAGTGAGGGACCAGTTTATGAAGAGGCTATAGGCCATCATAAGAAGTGTGGAATTTATACTGTGGTCTCATGGTCCCATGGGTGGTTTTAAAGGATGAGAGTGACAGGATTGGAGCAAATTTTTAGGAGGCTACCTCTGACAGGATTGTGACTTGCAGGTCAGTTTGGTGCTTATTCCTCTGTGCTTCCACAGCACATATATATTCCAATGACAATACTTGCTGCATGACTGTAATTATTTGTGTATATATCTCTTTTCATCTTTTACTGTGAGTTCCCAAAGGGGAGGAAATATACTTAGATGATTCTTGTGCCGCAGAAGCACAGCAGAGTGTGTGCTTAAGAAGCATCTGTGGAAGGAACAAATGAATGTTTTTGTTTGTTTGTTTGTTTGTTCGTTTTGCGAGGCAGGGAGTGACCAGAGGCTGTATGCAATAGTCTAGGCAAGTGATAGGAGTGGTCCTACTAAGGCAGAGATAGCAGAGTTGGTCATTGTTAAAGTATTCCAGGTAGTTTGGGGTTTACAATTCTCCTTTTTTTTTTTTTTTTTTTTTTTTTTTGCGGTACGCGGGCCTCTCACTGTTGTGGCCTCTCCCGCTGCGGAGCACAGGCTCCGGAAGCGCAGGCTCAGCGGCCATGGCTCACGGGCCCAGCCGCTCCGCGGCATGTGTGATCTTCCCGGACCAGGGCACAAACCCGTGTCCTCTGCATCGGCAGGCGGACTCTCAACCACTGCGCCACCAGGGAAGCCCCAGTTCTCCTCTTTGATTGAATTTATCAGTCTAAATTGTGTCATTGCCCAGAGCTACCTGATCTGTGAAGACCCTAGGCAATGATACAGCAGATGTCACTTGGTAAACTTTCTTTTTGAGAGACAGAAACCAATACTGACAAATTCCCTTTGGGTGAAATGAGAGGGATGTATTTTATGTTTGTGGGAAGGAGGTGTGTGTGAGAGAGAGAGAAAGAAGGAGAGAGAGCGGCAGACTTGTACAGTATACTGGTTAAGAGGCTAGGCCTAAGAGTCAGACTTCCTGGTTCGAATTCTGGATCTACCATTTACTTTTTCTGGTAACAGTGGAATGGCTAACCTTTCCAGGGTTTAGTTTCTCATATGTAAAAGTGAGATCAGTGATCAATCTTCCTTATAGGGCTGTTGAGAAGCTTGCTTTGGAACAGTGCCTGGTATACAGTAGGTGGTCAATAAATTTATTATTGTTACAGTGCAATGAAAGTAAAGACTTTCTGAGAGTGCTGTTTGGAAATATGTGTATTAATTACACATCCAAATAAAGTTTATAAATGCACTGAAAACCTTAAGATGCTATATAAATGTGAAACGGTGTTATTATATTTGTGTAATAAGTTTTAAAGAATTGTGTGAATTGCACATTCTTATATGGTCTTGTTTCTGTGTGTGCATGTTTGACAAACGGTTGTCTCCCCTGTTTAAAATATTTGGAAAGATTTTATTGCCTTCCTTTATCAGTAATATTTTAAATACCATACGTTTCATTTTGTATATGGAGACGCTTGAAGGATTTTTTATTTTGTAGAGTGTTTTGGATAGCCCATCTACTGTTGCTTATGCTATTTTCCAGCTTTTTTTCAAGGTTCTTCTTTATCTTGCTGCATCTGAAAGCATGGGTAGCAAGAAACTAAGACGAGTGGGTTTATCACAAGAGCTGTGTGACCGTCTGAACAGACATCAGATTGTTACCTGTCAGGTAAAATTTATTTAATTTTTTTCAGTGAGAAACTTTAAGTACAAATTAATCTTTTTTTTTCTTTTTCTTTAGATTTTTTCTTTTGATGTGGACCATTTCCAAAGTCTTTATTGAATTTGTTACAACATTGCTTCTGCTTTATGTCTTGGCCTCTTGGCCATGAGGCATGTGGGATCCTAGCTCCCTGACCAGGGATTGAACCCACACCCCCTGCATTGGAAGGCGAAGTCCTAACTACTGGACCGCCAGGGACGTCCCACAGATTAATCTTGTGTACCTAAATAACTCTTAATAACACCTAAAATATGAACATTTAGGTGTATAAGAAAAGATAAATATGGTGCTTGCTAATTTTAAATAACAAACCACTTAGCTTGTATTTCCAAATGTGATTTCATTTATCCAAATGCAAGATTTTTGCATTTTGGGTGGGGTTGGGTGGGGAGAATGCTCATAGCAGAAGGTGAAGTACACCTGTGCCATTTATTTGGGATTCTAGAGAAGTTTTGTCCTCATAAAAGAAATTTTGCAGTTACATGAGAAATATGACTCAAATGAGGAGACAGTATTCAAAATGGGTACTTTCTCTTGAAAGCAAGAAAAATTAGTAGTTAGGATTATTTTCCTATTGATGGAGTGAGAGAAATATATAAGCAGATGTTGTATATTTAAGCAAAAGAGTAAAGCAAATCCCTCTTAGGAGGCTAAATAAGATTTAAGGTTTTCTGTTAGGATTTAATCCTTAATAAGACAGACTTTCAGAGCGTGCTGCAATTTTTTAAAAATTGCTTTGTGTGTTAATGGTGTCTGTGCTTCCTCTGTTATGCATTTTATAATCCTCATGTTCATACTTTGAAATACTCTTAAAAGTATGAAATTTAACATTTCATTCCATAGTTTTATTTATTTGGCTGCATTAGGTCTTCGTTGCTGTGCGCGGGCTTTCTCTAGTTGCGGCGAGCGGGGGCTACTCTTCGTTGCAGTGCGCAGGCTTCTCATTGCGGTGGCTTCTCTTGTGGAGCACGGGCTCTAGGCGCCCAGGCTTCAGTAGTTGCAGCATGCAGGCCCTAGAGCACGCGGGCTTCAGTAGCTGCGGCGCGTGGGCTCTAGGTTGCACGGGCTTCAGTAGCTGTGGCATGCAGGCTTAGTTGCTCTGCGGCATATGGGATCTTCGCCCGGACCAGGGATCGAACCCGTGTCCCCTGCATTGGCAGGCAGATTCTTAACCACCGAGACTCTAGGGAAGTCCTTCCATAGTCACTTTTATTTTCTTTCAATTATTAAATACTCCCTCTGAATGATTTCATAGCTTAGGAAGAAACTCATTTTTTTTTAAGTAGTACAACCTTGTATTTATTTATTTTAACATTTTTATTGGAGTATAATTGCTTTACAATGGTGTGCTAGTTTCTGCCTTACAACAGAGTGAATTAGCTATACATACACATACATCCCCATACTTAACCCCTCCTGCATCTGCCCCCAACCCTCCCCATCCCACCCCTCCAGGCAGTCACAAAGCACCGAACTGATCTCCCAGTGCCATGCGGCCACCTCTCAATAGCTGTCTATTTTACATTTGGTAGTATATTTAAGTCCATGTCACTCTCTCACTTCGTCCCAGCTTAACCCTTCCCCCTCCCCATGTCCTCAAGTCCAGTCTCTATGTCTGCGTCTTTATTCCTGTCCTGCCCCTAGGTTCTTCAGAACTTTCTTTTTAGATTCCATATATATATGTTAGCTTATGATATTTGTTTTTCTCTCTGACTTACTTCACTCTGTATGACAGACTCTAGGTCCATCCACTTCACACAAATAACTCAATTTCATTTCTTTTTATGGCTGAGTAATATTCCATTGTATATATGTGCCACGTCTTCTTCATCCATTCATCTGTCTATGGACACTTAGGTTGTTTCCATGTCCTGGCTATTGTAAATAGAGCTGCAGTGAACATTGTGGTGCATGATTCTTTTTGCATTATGGTTTTCTCAGGGTATAGGCCCAGTAGTGGGATTGCTGGGTCATATAGTAGTTCTATTTTTAGATTTTTTAAGGAACCTCCATACTGTTCTCTATAGTGGCTGTATCAATTTACGTTCCCAGCAACAGTGCAAGAGGGTTCCCTTTTCTCCACACCCTCTCCAGCGTTTGTTGTTTATAGATTTGCTGATGATGCCCATTCTAACTGGTGTGAGGTGATACCTCATGGTAGTTTTGATTTGCATTTCTCTAATGATTAGTGATGTTGAGCATTCTTTCATGTGTTTGTTGGCATTCTGTATATCTTCTTTGGAGAAATGTCTATTTAGGTCTTCTGCCCATTTTTGGATTGGGTTGTTTTTTTTGATATTGAGCTGCTTGTAAATTTTGGAGATTAATCCTTTGTCAGTTGCTTCATTTGCAAATATTTTCTCCCATTCTGGGTTGTCTTTTGGTCTTGTGTATGGTTTCCTTTGCTGTGCAATAGCTTTTAAGTTTCATTAGGTCCCATTTGTTTATTTTTGTTTTTATTTCCATTTCTCTAGGAGGTGGGTCAAAAAGGATCTTGCTGTGATTTATGTCATAGAGTGTTCTACCTATGTTTTGCTCTAAGAGTTTTTTAGTGTCTGGCCTTACATTTAGGTCTTTAATCCATTTTGAGTTTATTTTGGTGTATGGTGTTAGGGAGTGTGCTAATTTCATTCTTTTACATGTAGCCGTCCAGTTTTCCCAGCACCACTTATTGAAAAGGCTGTCTTTTCTCCATTGTATACTCTTCCCTCCTTTACCAAAAATAAGGTGACCATATGTGCATGTGTTTATCTCTGGGCTTTCTATCCTGTTCCATTGATCTATATTTCTGTTTTTGGTGCCAGTACCGTTCTGTCGTGATTACTGTAGCTTTGTAGTATAGTCTGAAGTTCAGCAGCCTGATTCCTCCAGCTCTGTTTTTCTTTTTCAAGATTACTTTGGCTATTTGGGGTCTTTTGTGTTTCCATACAAGTTGTGAAATTTTTTGTTCTACTTCTGTGAAAAATGCCATTGGTAGTTTGGTAGGGATTGCATTGAGTGTGTAGATTGCTTTGGGTAATATAGTCATTTTCACAGTGTTGATTCTTCCAATCCAAGGACATGGTATATCTCTCCATCTGTTGATATCATCTTTCATTTCTTTCATCAGTGTCTTATAGTTTTCTGCATACAGGTCTTTTGTCTCCTTAGGTAAGTTTATTCCTAGGTATTTTATTCTTTTTGTTGCAATGGTAAATGGGAGTGTTTACTTAATTTCTCTTTCAGATTTTTCATCATTAGTGTATAGGAATGCAAGAGATTTCTGTGCATTAATTTTGTATCCTGCTACTTTACCAGATTCATTGATTAACTCTTGTAGTTTTCTGGTGGCATCTTTAGGATTCTCTATGTATAGTGTCACATTGTCTGCAAACAGTGACAGCTTTACTTCTTCTTTTCCGATTTGGATTCCTTTTATTTCCTTTTCTTCTCTGATTGCTGTGGCTAAAACTTCCAAAACTATGTTGAATAAGAGTGGTGAGAGTGGGCAACCTTGTCTTGTTCCTGACCTTAGTGGAAATGCTTTCAGTTTTTCGCCATTGAGGATGATGTTGGCTGTGGGCTTGTCATATATGGCCGTTATTATGTTGAGGTAAGTTCCCTCTGTGCCTACTTTCTGGAGAGTTTTTATCATAAATGGGTGTTGAATTTTGTGGAAAGCTTTTCCTGCATCTATTGAGATGATCATATGGTTTTTCTCCTTCAGTTTGTTAATATGGTGTATCACATGGATTGATTTACGTGTATTGAGGAATCCTTGCATTCCTGGGATAAACCCCACTTGATCATGGTGTATGATCCTTTTAATGTGCTGTTGGATTCTGTTTGCTAGTATTTTGTTGAGGATTTTTGCATCTATGTTCATCAGTGATATTGGCCTGTAGTTTTCTTTCTTTGTGACATCTTTGTCTGGTTTTGATATCAGGGTGATGGTGGCCTCGTAGAATGTGTTTGGGAGTGTTCCTCCCTCTGCTATATTTTGGAAGAGTTTGAGAAGGATAGGTGTTAGCTCTTCTCTAAATGTTTGATAGAATTCGCCTGTGAAGCTGTCTGGCCCTGAGGTTTTATTTGTTGGAAAATTCTTAATCACAGTCTCAATTTCAGTGCTTGTGATTGGTCTGTTTGTATTTTCTATTTCTTCCTGGTTCAGTCTCCGGAGGTTGTGCATTTCTAAGAATTTGTCCATTTCTTCCAGGTTGTCCATTTTTTTGGCATATAGTTGCTTGTAGTAATCTCTCATGATCCTTTTTATTTTTACAGTGTCAGTTGTTACTTCTCCTTTTTCATTTCTAATTTCTATTGATTTGAGTCTTCTCCCTCTTTTTTCTTGATGAGTCTGGCTAATGGTTTATCAATTTTGTTTATCTTCTCAAAGAACCAGCTTTTATTTTTATTGATCTTTACTATTGTTTCCTTTATTTCTTTTTCATTTATTTCTGATCTGATCTTTATGACTTCTTCCCTTCTGCTCACTTTGGGGGTTTTTTGTTCTTCTTTCTCTAATTGCTTTAGGTGTAAGCTTAGGTTGTTTATTTGAGATTTTTCTTGTTTCCTGAGGTAGGATTGTATTGCTATAAACTTCTCTCTTAGAACTTCTTTTGCTGCATCCCATAGGTTTTGTCATTTGAAGGAACTCATTTCAGCCTGACTCTTTCTGGTCATCTGTTTGTGCCCAGACTCTTTCAGGCACAAGGGCAGCGCCAACATACACCTGAGTTGGATTCTGCTGCTATGTGTTGTTACTTGGTGTGTCCTCTGGTATATGCTAAGGTGGATAATTAGAGGATAGGATTATATCATCATATCTTTTAGTTAAGGGCTATTTAGGGGGAAAATACTATAAGAAACATATAAATCTTTGATCTACAATAATTTTTTTAAAAAATACTTATGGATTTATTTGGCTGCGCCGGTTCTTAGTTGTGGCATGTGGGATCTAGTTCCCTGACCAGGGATTGAACCCAGGCCCCCTGCATTGGGAGCGTGGAGTCTTAACCACTGGACCACCAGCGAAGTCCCTGATCTACAATAAATTCTGCTTTTATTTACACATGGATAGTATCAATTGAAAGTTTCCTTTTAATTCCAGTATCTTTGTTGCACATATATATTTTAAATATTTTCTTTATGTTTTTTAGGACTTTCTATGTCTTTCCCCACTGGAGCTTATGAAGATGACTGGCCTTAGTTATCAAGGTGTCCATGAACTTTTGTGTGTGGTCAGCAGGGCCTGTGCCCCACGGATGCAAACGGTATGTATATATTTTAGAATTATGATTTGATTTTTATTTTGAAACGATTCTGTATCTCGTTTAAAATCTTTTGGGTGATGAGGCAAAAGCAAAAATAGAGATGAGCACCTCAAAAATACCAACCCTCACAGCATAGAGTTAGTCCTCTAATGAGAATATATGTAAGAAATTTATGTAGTTTATAAGCTCGTGGGAGACAGTTCCTAATTATGGGAATGAGAGGGTAATATGATTTTTTTTTTCTCTGTAGCTGGTACTGATATTTCAAAAGGTCATCTTTCTCTTTTGTTTGTTTGGGTAGGATTTGTGAACCTCATGGTTAAAGGATAATATACTGTTAATTTTAGAATGCTCCTGTCTCTGTAATACTAACTTTTATCATCATTACTTACTGTGCATCATAAAGTGCACCTGTTGGACTTGTACTCTCTTACTGATTGAATGAATAATACTTGAAAACTTATCCTCACTCCTGAGCAGAGTTAAAGTGTTTTGTAATAAGCCCTCATCAAGTTGTACTATTATTTCATACTTTCTGTCTCATGACTTTAGCTTTTCAAAATGTAGGTTTAGTGCAGGGTAGAAAATATCTTGTTTTCCCAGAATAAGAGTTGCCTAAAAGTCTGTCCGGTGTTTTGCAAATGTATTTGTTTATGTGGGTTATAAATTACTTACCTTACTACCTTATATTGAAATTTGGTAACCACCAAGCAGTAAAGTAGGGTCTAACTCTGTGAAGGAAGAAGGAAGGAATATTTGTGTCATTTGAAACTTTGAAAACAATGAACAAATTGAGTATTTTCTTTTGTTCAGATTTAGCTCATTATCTAAGGAAAATACATTAAAGGCAAAATAGTCAGAAGGAGAATTAGAATTGGAGTTAGAGATGGGCAGTAGTCTTAGCTTTGCCATTGATCTGGTATTTTTGAACAGCTCACTTTGTTTTATGGGAGAAGTTAGAGAGTTAAAATAGTATCTTATGATTCTGTGATGAGGTTCAAGTTAACTTGTCACTATTTTGAAGGTTGTAAATCACCAAGAGAACATTTTGGTTTGACATCTGTCATTCTATTTGGTCAATATCTATGACATGTTCCTAGTTAGATAATTAAGTAGGAGACTATGAGTAGTAAATTCACCTTTTGTCTCCACTTCCATCACCACTTTCAGCTGCAATGTCACTACCATTCCAAATGCCAGTTCAAAGAGCCATCTTTCTCCTTCGTTGTACATTACTCTTGTAAAATTCTTTAGATTTGAATCCTGTCTTACATATTGGCTTAGCCTTAGTTCATTCCCTCATAAAGCTTTTTTTGTTAATTTATTTATTCAATAATTTATTCCTTCAACCAATATTTATCGAGTGCCAGCCATGGATCTGTCAGGTACTGGGGATATTATAGTGAAGATGACTGATAAAGTTCCTGCCCTCATGTAGCTTACAGGCTAGTGGGAACAGTCAGACAGTAAACAAATAATTATACAAATGATTAGTTAACTGTAGTAATGACGAGTCCTATCAAAGAAAAGTACAAAGAGCTTAGAAACTGAATAACAGGGACATTACTTAGTTTAGGGGTCCTTAGGAAGGGCTCCCTCAAGGAAGCGATACTTCAGCTCAAACCTGAAGGATGAATAGGAGAGAGATGGACAGCGGAGTTGGGAAGGGAGGGAGCAGATAAGAGTTTGCAGGCACTGTGACTGGGAAATGCAAAGCCCCTGAGAAGAGCAGGAGAATCGTGCTTGTATGGTAAGAAAGTCAGGCCAGTGTGAATGAACATAGTGGCAAGGAAGAGAGTGTCAAGAGATGAAGTTGGAGAAGCAAGCAGGGGTCAGGTCACTGGGGCCTGCAGACCATGTTAAGGATTTTGGACTTTATTCTAAAAGCAATGACACATCATCAAAGGGAGTAATCTAATACGTGTTTTTAAAAACTCAGTCTTTAAACATAGACAAGTGATTGAAAAGGAACAAGAAAATATTTGTGAAGACTAGTTAGGTATCTATGACTGTATTACAGACATTGTGACATGGACTACTAGTGTGGTACTGATGCCGATGGCGTAATGTCAGTTATTGTGAGAGATACTTAGGAGGTAGAATGAATAGGATTCGGTGATGATTTGGCTGTGGGTGGTGGTGAGGTACAGGAAAGTGTCAGAGATGATTCCTTGATTTTGCTTTGAAAGATTGGGTGGTACCATTTCCTGAGATGAGGAATATTGGAAGAGGATCAGGTTTGAGGGAGGCAGATCATGAATTCGTTAGTACCTGTCGAATTTTTGGTGCTTGTGAAACATTGAGTAGAGATGCGAAGTAGGCAGTTAAATATGTGGACCTTGAGCTTGAAGTAGAGGTCTGCACTAGAAGCGTGCATTGGGGAGTCATCGGTGTGAACATGGTAGTCAAAGCCGTGAAAATGGGTGAGAGATTGCCTAGAACGTATGTACAGTGAGAATGTAAGTGTGCCCAAGACCAAGTCCCGAATCCAGCCAACATTTCAAGATCAGATTAGACAACGATGAGTCTAAGAAGCAGCCTCCAAGGTAGAAGAAAACTGGTGGTGTGTCATATCGCAGTGTCCCTCTTTGCCTCGCTTATGTACACACTATTATCTCTTAAGTCTTGTTCTGTTAGTTCATTTTAGTAGTTTTTTGAGTCACGAGATTTATTATTCTAGTAATTACATTTATAGTTGCAAAGGAAGTACTTTAATGTTAACAGATTGGGCTGCCTTTACATGTCTGTAAAGTGTCCCCATGCCCACCTATGTTGCCTGATAGATTGTAGACAATATTTAGGTATTTCTAAATCAGATGAAAGGCATATGCCTTTTACTGTAGCTTTTCTAGTTATTTTATGTGCCTGAATGTAGCTTTTAAAAAACTCTGTGGCAATCCACAATAGGTGAGATTAGGCAAGAGTGGGCACATTTATGGCTCATACGTATTAATATACTGGTCTTCCTACGTCCTCATAGGAGCAGAAGAGCCTTGGATTTGAGACCTAGACTTATTAAATTGTAAACTTTAGGTGGGTAGAAACTAGGTCTGTTTGGGTTACCATTCTATTCCCAGAGCTTATCATAGTATATGGCATGCAGTTGGCAATTAATTCATATTTTTTGAATGAATGGAGGAAAGATTTCAGTTCTATGGCTGGACTTCAGTTTGGGGCAACTTAATATAATAGTAGTAACTTTTAATGTTAGAGATTGCAGAGAGGCAAGTGTTCTTACACATTGCTGGTGGGTATGTAATCATGTTAACCACATCTGCAAAGACCCTTTTTCCAAATAAGGTAATATTCACAGGTTCCAAGGATTTGATGTGGTTGTCTTTTGGGAGCCCATTTCTTAGTCTACCCCATCCACCTTCAAGCTGTTCTTCACAAAGCGACCTCGGTTTGAAATGGTATCTTGGCCGTGTCACTCCCTGTTGCTCTCAGCCTACACACCACACTTCAGCAACGCTCTTCCTGATTAGGCCCCTGCTTATTTCTCCAGCCTCATTGCTTGCCACACCATGACCTCGCGCCTTCTGTCTGACGTTCTAAATGAACTCTTTTTGTTTTTTGTAGTTTTTGTGAGTTTCCATTTCCTTTCTTTCTTGCTTCTTGACCTTTCTTCGTACATTCTTGTCTCTTTGCCAGGAACATGCACATTCCCTTTGCCTGTCTAACAGTCATTTCAGGTTTTAGCTCAGACATGCAGATCTCCCTTGAAGCCTTCCTATATCACAAAATCCAGATCAGGTGTACTCTCTCCAGGTCTCCACTTGCCCTATCACAGTATCTCTTATTTAAGTGTATGGTAATTGCTTAGTTTCTAGTCCTAATTTCATAGTCCCTAGTTGGCTGTAAGTACTGTGGGGCAGGAGCTCTGTCTTTTATATCACAGCCCCCAAATCTAGCACAGTCCCCAGCACAGAGTAAATGTCGTTGAATAAATAAATAGTAGAAGAAAAAAAAGGGGATTGGGGTTCCAATTGCTAGAATTTGAGTTTGGAGTTGACTTATGTTTTTGAATAAATATAGAGGTTGAAAATAACTTAATCTCTTCTTTGTTCAGGCTTATGAGATAAAGACACAGAGGTCTGCTGCTCCATCACCAGCATTTTTATCTACAACCCTCTCTGCTTTAGATGAAGCCCTGCATGGTGGTGTAGCTTGTGGATCCCTCACAGAGGTAAAAAAGAAACTTTCCAAACCTTCTTCCATTGACTTAGAACCTTCAGAGCCAGGGGAAAAAGGTTAATTAAAAACATAAATTATTTTGGGAATATTCATCTAAATTATAAGTACCTCAAGGGCATGGTTCTCTACTCAGTCCCTAGTACAATACTAGTACAGTACATCAAAAGGAAGATGGTCCAAAAAAATCCCTCCTGACTGAAATCTGCTTGGGTTGCTGTTTCTTTGAATTAGAAAGTGATGAATATTATGAAATAATATGAAACAATTTGGGAGAATTAGAAAAGGATCACTACGTAGTGTATTAGGAAGGAAAATTTGAAATTTTATTAACATGTGGGCAAATTATAGTATTAAACTGAAGTGAGCTATTTTCACTTCCTGTTAAAGATAAAATTTGGTTCTAGGAAGTAATAGGTTGTTGTATTAGTAATATATTGTTGCATAACAAATTACCCCCAAACTAAGTGGCTTAAACAACAATAAACATTGATTTCCGTTTCTTTGGGAGTGGCTTAGCTCAGTGATATTGGCGAAGGATGCGAGGGGGCAGGTTGGTGCTGGTTGTTGGCCGAGGTCACGATTCCTCCCCAGAGGGCTCTCCACAGGTTGCTTGAGTCTCCTCGTGGCACGATGTCTGACTCCCTCAGGCAAGATGGAAATGGCTATTCCTTTGATGATTTAGCTTTGGAAGTAATACACCATCACTTCTGCCACTTTCTCTTCTTTAGAAGCGGGTAATTAAGTCCAGCCCACATTCAAGGAAAGGGAAATTAGACTCTACCTTTTGAAAGAAGTGTCAAGAATTTGAGGATATTTTAAAACCACAATAGTTCTTTTCCTTGAAAACTGCATTCATGTGCTTACTGGTCCTCATGTGGTGACTCCATAGACTATGTTTACCAGTACACTCCTGAGGGACTTCTTGCATGAGAGTTCTAGGGGAATAGATGCTTGAAACAAACTTTTAACAAGAGTAGCCGCTTATATTTTGATAGGCCTAAATTTAACTGTAGATATTTTCCCTTGAAAATAGGGGACCTATTTTAGGTAGTATACATTATTTTATTTCCGGTCTTCCAAGAAAGATTTTTTTTTATAAAGTTTTTTTTTTTTTTAATTTTTATTTATTTTATTTTTGGCTGTATTGGGTCTTCGTTGCTGCGCGTGGGCTTTTCTCTGGTTGTGGCAAGTGGGAGCTACTTTTCGTTGCGGTGCACGGGCTTCTCATTTTGGTGGCTTCTCTTGTTGCGGAGCACGGGCTCTAGGCACGTGGACTTCAGTAGTTGTGGCACACAGGCTCAGTAGTTGTGGGTTGTGGACTGAGCAGTTGTGGCTCGTGGGCTCTAGAGTGCAGGCGCAGTAGTTGTGGCACATGGGCTTAGTTGCTCTGCGGCATATGGGATCTTCCCGGACCAGGGCTCAAACCCGTGTCCCCTGAATTGGCAGGCGGATTCTTAACTACTGCACCACCAGGGAAGCCCACCAAGAAAGATTTTAAAATGTGTGTGTGCTATGCCTAGTAGATGCCTATTGGATAGTAGGTAAATGAACGAAAGAGTGAATTAACCTTTAATAGAAATTAGAATGTGCTGTTGCAGGGCACTGCCACCAGATGGTGCCAGAATCCTATCTTACATAATCTTTTTGTGATCTAGTTGGACCTTTGTTGAAATAGGTTTATTTAAAAAAAAAAAGAAAGAGGCTTTATAGTAATTGTGATCCACAGTTATAAACTTACTTATTTAAATAGCAAAACTTCAGGAAGATTAACCAACAAATACTTTTTTATTTTTTAAGTTTTGGAATAGTTTCAATACTTTTTCATGTAGCTTTTATCAATTCTTTCTGAATCCAAGAGATAGTTACAAGCCATTAGATGTTTTTTCATCATCTGATTGGCTGACATGGAATATAAATACCCTGATTGCTTATTAGAGGCAAGTTCTCTACTTTCTGTTTCAGCTCCAGGTAGCCTCTGCAGTCTTTTTGGGATTTTTCAGCTGAGTACAGGGAGTATTTGTTGACCTTGTATTAAAAACAAAAATTTAATATCTGTCTTATGTATACAAGATTAAATACATCCTGCATGTGTAAGTTATGAACATTTATGAGCCTGTGACCCAATATAAAATGCAGAACAATACCAAAATCATTGAAACCAACTGTGGGCTCCTCCCTGATCCCATCTTTGGCCTTCTGTTGGGAGGTAACTTCCATCCTGAATTTCCACCATTGCTATCTTTTTTTTTTTTAATTGAAGTATAGTTGATTTACAATATTATATTGGTGTCAGGTGTACAGCATAGTGATTCTACCATTGCTGTACTTTTTTTCCCCAAACCAATACCTATAGTTTTCCTTTATCACCCATATACATAGGAAATGTAGCATTTTATTTAGTTTTGCTTATTTTTGAGCTCTATTATACAATATATTGGTGATTAAATCATATCATATCTCTTCTATGAATTGATTTTTCCACTTAATATTATTTTCTAAGATTTATCCATGTTGCAAGTAGCAAGAGTATAATTCACTTTCACTGCTGTGTCATACTCCATTTTGAAAATATGGCCACAGTTTATTTATCCCTTCTCCTGTGAGTGAACATTTGGGTTGTTTCCAAATATTAGCAGTTTGCTGCTAATATAAACAAGTCCTGTGAAAACTGTTGTACATGTCTCCTGGATCACATGTACAGGTATTTCTCTAGGGCACAGATTGGCAAACTACTGCCCAGTGATCAAATCTGTACAGCTGCCTGTTTTTTATAAATAAAGTTTTATTGTAACACAGCTATGTTCATTTTTTTACATTTTGTCTGTGGCAGTTTTTGAGATACAAGGCAGAGTTGCGTTAGTTGTGACAGAGATCTCACGGTTTGCAAAGCCTAAAATATTTACTAGCTGGCTCCTGTCTAGGGGATCTAACTTGGAGTGATTTGCTGGTTATTATAGAGTATGCACATAGGTAACATTGCAGAATCGGGACAAATTGTTTTCCAGAGTGGTTGTGCCTGTTTACATTCCTATGAGCAATGTGCACGAATACCTCTTGCTCCATGTCTTCTTACCTTGGTATTATCTGACTTCTCAGTTTCTGCCCATCTTTGTGATCTTAGTTTTCATTTTCCTGATTACTAATGAGCTGGAATATCTTTTTATAAATCATTCGGCTATTTAAAAAAATAATTTTATTTTATTTTTTTATACAGCAGGTTCTGATTAGTCATCCATTTTATACACATCAGTGTATACATGTCAATCCCAATCGCCCAATTCATCACACCACGATCCCCCCCCCACCACCACTTTCTCCCCTTGGTGTTCATATGTTTGTTCTCTACATCTGTGTCTCTATTTCTGCCCTGCAAACCAGTTCATCTGTACCATTTTTCTAGGTTCCATATATATGTGTTAATATACGATATTTGTTTTTCTCTTTCTGACTTACTTCACTCTGTATGACAGTCTCTAGATCCATCCACGCCTCTACAAATGACCCAGTTTCGTTCCTTTTTATGGCTGAGTAATATTCCATTGTATATATGTACCACATCTTCTTTACCCATTCGTCTGTTGATGGGCATTTAGGGTGCTTCCATGAACTGGCTATTGTAAATAGTGCTGCAATGAACATAGCGGGGCATGTGTCTTTTTGAATTATGGTTTTCTCTGGGTATATGACCAGTAATGGGAATGCTGGGTCATATGGTAATTCTATATTTAGTTTTTTAGGGAACCTCCATACTGTTCTCCACAGTGGCTGTATCAATTTACATTCCCACGAACAGTGTAAGTGGGTTCCCTTTTTTCCACACCCTCTCCAGGATTTGTTGTTTGTAGATTTTCTGATGATGCACATTTTAACTGGTATGAGGTGATAAATCATTGCAGTTTTGATTTGCATTTCTCTAATGATTAGTGATGTTGAGCAGCTTTTCATGTGCTTCTTGGCCATCTGTATGTCTTCTTTGGAGAAATGTCTAGGTCTTCTGCCCATTTTTGGATTGGGTTGTTTGTTTTTTTAATATTGAGCTGCGTGAGCTGTTTATATATTTTGGAGATTAATCCTTTGTCCATTGATTAGTTTGCAAATATTTTCTCCCATTCTGAGGGTTGTCTTTTTGTCTTCTTTGTAGTTTCCTTTGTGTTGCAAAAGTTCCATTAGGTCCCATTTGTTTATTTTTGTTTTTATTTCCATTACTCTAGGCCATGGATCAAAAAAGATCTTGCTGTGATTTATGTCAGAGTGTTCTTCCTATGTTTTCCTCTAAGAGTTTTATAGTGCCCAGCCTTACATTTAGGTCTCTAATCCATTTTGAGTTTTATTTTTGTGTATGGTGTTAAGGAGTGTTCTAATTTCATTCTTTTACATGTAGCTGTCAAGTTTTCCCAGCACCACTTATTGAAGAGACTGTCTTTTCTCCATTGTATATCCTTGCCTCCTTTGTCATAGATTAGTTGACCATAGGTGCGTAGGTTTATCTCTGGGCTTTCTATCCTGTTTCATTGATCTGTATTTCTGTTTTTGCACCAATACCATGTTGTCTTGATTCCTGTAGCTTTATAGTATGTCTGAAGTCAGGAAGTCTGATTCCTCCAGCTCCGTTTTTTTCCCTCAAGACTGCTTTGGCTATTTGGGGTCTTTTGTGTCTCCATACAAATTTTTAGATTTTTTGTTCTAGTTCTGTAAAAAATTCCACTGGTAATTTCATAGGGATTGCATTGAATCTGTAGATTACTTTGGGTAGTACATCATTTTCACAAGTTTGATTCTTCTAATCCAACAACATGAAATATCTCTCCATCTGTTTATGTCATCTTTGATTTCTTTCATCAGTGTCTTATAGTTTTCTGAGTGCAGGACTTTTAACTCCTTAGGTAGGTTTATTCCTAGGTATTTTATCCTTTTTGTTGCAGAGGTAAATGGGGGTGTTTCCTTAATTTCTCTTTCTGATCTTTCGTTGTTAGTGTATAGGAATGCAAGAGA